TGGGACAGAATGGAATAGAGAAAGAAGGAAGGAGAATAGAATAGAATAGGATAGAATGGAATGGAATGAAATGGAATGGAATGGAATGGAACGGAACAGAATGGAATAAAATAGAATAAAGAATGGGATAGAATGGAATAGAGAAAGAAGGAAGGAGAATAGAATAGAATAGAATAGAATAGAATAGAATAGAATAGAATAGAATAGAATAGAATAGAATAGAATAGGATGGAATGGAATAGAATAGGATGGAATGGAATGGAATGGAATGGAATAGGGTGGGGTGGGATGGGATGGGATGGGATGGGGATTGGGAATGGAAATGGAAATGGAAATAGGAACAGAATACCATTTTAGATAGGTGACTGTCCAGTCTCTTCTTAAAAACTTCAAGTAATGGAGCACCCACGCTTTCTGGTGGCCAGCTGTTCCACTGGTTCATTGTCCTCACTGTTACGAAGCTTCTCCTTATTCCCAGGTTGCTTCTCTCCTTGGTTAATTTCCATCTGTTGCTTCTTCTCCTGCCTTCTGGTGCTTTGGAGAATAATTTGACCCCCTCTTCTTTGTGGCAGCCCCTCAAATACTGTAGTACTTCTATCCTGTCACCCCTAATTCTTCTTTTCTTCAGACTAGCCAAACTAGCCAAATTAAAAAGGAGAAAGAGACACGTTCTTTTTCAATGTTTAATGCTCAACAGAAAAAAATAGTGTGAAGTTGTAACACTGCTAAACCATCACCAACATTACAATTGTGATTATTTTCAGGGCAAAATGGACCATCAAATCCCATCTGACATTACACACTAGTTAAAACATCTACTACAGCCTTTGTGATCACTTACTACAGCCTTTGTCAGCCTACAATTGTACAGAGCTCTCACTGTAGCTCAAATGTGTTTTCCTCTTAATTTCACTGGTGTAACTACAACAACAAACTTACTAGAGTTAAAACAGATGAAACAATTTAGTTACAAGCGCCTCTATTCTTGTTGTTTTCAATTAACTTAAATCCTGGCACATTTCTTAGTTTCAGATCCTGCATTTTATTGAGAAGTAAATGCATTCTTATGTGAAAACTTGTGTTAAAAATAAATTTGCTTCCAAATTATGTTTGCAGTTATTATAAAAGTGGAAGACTCTTCCACCCTTTGGGAAAAAAATAAGCAAGCCTATATTTGTATTAAATAAAATATTCCCCTCCAAAACATCATATTGCATACTTTCTTCTGAATAAGACTTACTACTGTTGGAGTAATAGTAATATTTTCTTTAGTGATCAAAGTACACTTTTCAATGGAATAGATTTGTCCTAAGTGCATATTTATTATAAAGATAATTAATAAACTTTCTTCTGTTTTGCTCTTTGTGGACAAAAACTCAAACGTCAACCCAAATCTAATTCAGCTGTTGATGTACAAAAAGAAGTGAAATCAGATTAAATTATAAGTGCAATTCCATTCATTTGTGTCTCAATGTAAGCATTCATTAAAAAAAATCTGACGGGAAAAAAAAACTGTCAAATCAGCGTTGAAAAAAAAACGGGGTTAAAATCCTGGCAATGCCACCAACAGATACCCAATACGTCTTTCTAAGATAGCACAAAAAATGACCTAAAGCTTGTACACATTAAGCTTGTACACAAATATTCAAAAATAATTACTGTGACTTGGAGAAATCGTGTCTATCGTATCATGATGGCAAGACTGTGGTTGGTGAGCTATGTGTCTAGCCTCTGAATCCATTTCTCAACCTTGGCAACTTTAACATGGATGGATTTCAACTCCCAGAATTCCCCACACCATGTATAAAGACCAATAGGGGCTCTGCATGGCTGGCTGGAGAATTCTGGGAGTTGAAGTCCACCCATCTTAAAGTTGCCACGGTTGAGAAGCACTGCTCTAGATTCCTACAGTAGATGGACAACATTGGGTGTCTCTACACTTCCTTCTTAAGGTTCTTTTCCTATAAACCCAACTTGAATTATGTCTAAAGTTAAGACCACAAGACTCTTTTATTAATGCAGGCAGTCCTCGACTTACAACAGTTCATTTAGTGACCGTACAGCGGCACTGAAGCAGGAGACTTATGACCGTTTTTCACACTTATGACAGTTGCAGCATCCTCTTGGTCACAAGATCAACAGTCGGATGCTTGGCAACTGGTTCATATTTATGACGGTTGAGTGTCCTGAGGTCATGTGGTTCCCTTTTGTGACCTACTGCCAAGGGGGAAGCCAGATTCATTTAACAACTGCAGTGATTCACTTAACAACAGTGGCAAGACAGAGCGTTAAATGAGGCAAAACTCAATTAGCAAATGTTTCCGTCAGCAACAGAAATGTTGGGCTCATTTGTGATTGTAAGTTGAGGACTACCTGTATATTGTGATTTTATTCTTCTGGTGGATTTCATAATCTGCCCCCATCTAGGGAGGTGTCTGTGTCATAGTATTATCTGCAGCAAGGAGATTATTTTGATCCTGAGCTTGTGGGTTCAGGCATTGGGTTGGTCGCTATTAAAATAAGCATTGTGGGTTGATGGACACTTCTTAATTTAGATCCAAAGCTGTAGGAGTGCTGGCTTTTCTCCACATGGCACAAATTGTAAATCATGTAACTGAATCCATTCTAAGTCATCCAAAGCTTATGCTAGGAACGTATCTCGATATCGTCTGCATTGCTAGTAGAAAATCGTCTCCTTTTAATGCAGTTTCTCTCTTCATATTTACCTGCCAGCACCCTAGGCTGATACTTTAATTTAAAGTGTTCAACCATAGTCCAACCTCTAGCACCTTTATTTTTTATTTTATTTTTAAAAAGAGGTTAGGGTCACTGGCTCCCAAAACTTTGCAGTCCAGATTCAAGGTGATTTCCTTCTTCTTTGGGACCCAGCCAGTTCCAAAGAACTGCAGTGGGGCAAAAATGGTGCTCCGGGGTAGATCCTGTGAAACACAATAGGGATCTGCTCTGGTGGATTTAATTAAAGCACAACACGTTAATTTAGCAACTGAAGCTTCCCTCATGCTTGTTACCCCATTAAATATGGCAAGGCATCAAAGGTGAGAACCTAAATCCTTACAAAACTGGCATCGTTACTAACGTAGCCTCACTGCATTTTCCACTTGCAACAAGAGTGTAGAGTGTGACTGTGTGTGTTTGTGTATGTTTCTCTGTGTGTAAGACAAGAGAGAGAGAGGAAGAGAGGGAGGGAGGGAGTGGGAAAGAGGAAGAGGAGAGGGAAGGAGGGAGAGGAGAGAGAGTGGGAGGGAGAGAGAGGAGGGAGGGGGGAGAAAGAGAGGGAGAAGGAGAGAGAGAGAGAGAAAGAGAGATAACAAACAGCAATGAACTGAAAAGGCCAATGATCTGATATAATATTAGCAGGTCTCTTTTGTTCCTATTTGGTCACTTATTTTTGAAAAATGTAGCTGGATAAGAGTTTAGAATGAGATTATCTGGCAAATTAGCCACAGGTTTTTTGCTAATAGTGTACACAATTTAGACGTGTTTTCCATAAACTGCGATCATAACAAGCTTTCTTCCTTAGATTGTTAATACAGGTAGACCTTGCCATTTGTTGGACGATAGTTCAGAATTACAGCAGGACTGAAAAAAAGTGACTTGTCCTTAGGAGAGTAATACCACACCCGTGATCTGGTGATCACAAGTCCTTCCCAACTTCCAACAAGCAGACCCAACAGGGGGAAAGCTAGATTCACTTAATCACCACAGTAAAAACGGTCATAAAATCAAATGTTATCAAGTAATGCCTCACTTAAAACAAACCGTCCCGCTGAACGAGGAATTTTTTCAGTCCTAGTTGTGATTGTAAGTCAGGGACTATCTGTATGTTTCTTCGGAGCCATCCATGTCAATCAGTATGATTTTGACTTAAATGTCATTTTTTTAAAAAAAAATATGGCTACTCTTTTTAAATGGAGTGAAAATGGTATTTTTCCTATATATCCCATTAAATCCTTTCTCAAACAGAAACAAGGAAGCTACAAAAAAAAATAATCGCTTTGAGAGTCCACAGCATCAGTACAATGAAACCTTACATAATATAAGCGAAGACCGGTGCTAAAATATTACTGCATCAGAAAATGTACTCAGTTCCTTGTTTAGGGCAAAACGATGAGATATCATCCCAAGGTTTAAAACTCAATGATGCAGCCATTAAGTATCAGGGTATATAAAGTGTATTTTAGTGTCGGCTGGCTGTCAGGGCTCCAACAAATCCGCCCCCATTCAAATCATAAGTCTCTAGCCACATCTCTCAGAATTAAAAAAAAAGATTTATTAGGAGTGGTCATGTTGGCATTAGCTGGGTGCTGCTGACACTAAAATACACCATTCATTTCCCCCTTGACCCTGATCTTCTCATCCCGCGGATGTATATTCTCCAATGGGACACACCCATAGCCAAGAGTCATCAATCATGCTCTCCAGTAATATTCTTGCACGCTGACAGCTTTGGGCTGCCAAGGCGATTATCTAAGGCATTTGAGGAATGCACTGCTTTTCCCCACTCCCTTTCTGCTGGCAACTAAAAAGACCAAAGGAGTATTTTCTTTTTAGTTGACATTAAGCTTCTGGGCCAGGGATCCCCAAACTTGGCAACTTTAAGATTTGTGGACTTCAACTCCCACAATTCCTCAGGAATTCTGGGAGTTGAAGTCCACAAGTCTTAAAGTTGCCAAGTTTGGGGTCCTCTGTTCTAAGCTTTTAAAAACCAAACTTGGAAATGTTACTTTTTAAAACCAGGGTCCCTCATCTTCCTCTTCCCCCTCGTTTTCGTTCAGGTAGAGAAGGGCGATTTTCTTTTCGTCCGAAATCACCGATCGTTGGTCAACCATCCTTTGCAGTTGCACGGTTCGGTCAAACGTGGACTCCTCTGACTTCTGTTCACTTTCTGGGTTCTTCCAAAGCTCTTCCATGCTGCCTTCAGGTTGACCGTTGCCTGCTTCTTGCCTACCTGATACCACTAAGGTAGCTTGTGGTTCTCTCCCACCAGTTTTGCTAATGTCCATCTGGAAGGTAAAGGATGTTTCTTTTTGTCCGATTCGGATTTGCCCAACAGATTTGCTGTTTTCTGAGGGCCCATCTGTGTGGGAAAATTCCATACCGCTGAAGAGTTGAGCATCAGGACTATGGAGCCCTTGCCCAATCTGAATGTGATGTGTTGACCGGCTGGTCTCTGCAGGACTTATTTTTTCCAAGGTGTCTTCTTGTGAAGAACTGATTCCTGGAGATTCCAAAACAATATCTTGGGACATGAAGTCATGGCTCTGGACTTCTTTCTGGCCTAATGTAATACGATGGACTGACCCTTCAGAAGAAAACATCTGCCCCAATTCACTGACCTTTTGGTGCTGTTCAGAAATGGGCTCTGTAAAAACAATTTGCTCACTTACAAACTCCTTCGGGCTTAATTTGATATGTCTGATTGTGGTGTTAACATCCTCACCAAGCTTGACTGAACCATCATCTGATGTCTTGGGGAAGGAACCTTCATAAATGTTTTGGTCGGATGTTGGCGTGTCCTTCTGTCCGAAGGTCATCTTTTTGACTGCTTCTTCAAACAGATCATGGTCTCCAGGGGAAAAAGGCACTTCATATATTTCTCTTTCAACATGTATCTCTTTGGGATCTATTTGGATGTGTCTTATTGATGTGCTGATTGCTGTGGGATCTTTCATCTGTGAAAAGATATCCCTTCTATTATCTGATGACAATTCTGAAGCTCCCTCAAACGTGATTTCTTCAACAGTTTGTTTTGAATCCAATGTGATATGTTTGGAAGATCTAATATCACCCGAAACCTGGATCTGAGTAGAATTTTCAGGATTACTCACTTCTTCAAATGTGTAGATAGGACTTCTATAAATTAGTTTTTCTGTGGTTTCTGTCGTTTCGGGACTTGACTTCATTTCCTTCAGGAATTGACCTGCATCTGCTGATACTCCTGTTGTAAAGTCCACTGTTCCAAACTCCAGAGTAGGACCTTCATAAAAGACATGTTCCGTCTTGCGAATTTCAGTTGGACCAACTACAACATGACGGATGTGTCTGTTAATATCAAATGACTCCTTAGCGGGATAGGCATCTTCTCTCTTGTTGGTTTCTTCCATGGTCCAATGTGTGGAGGAAACATCTGTGTGATGTTTTTCATCCTGCCAAGTTTCTGGTTGTTGTTTTATGTATTGATCAAAGCCACCTTCATTTGGCGACTGTTTGGATAATTTTACCTGATCGGTCACAGCTTTCCCAAGCCATTCTGTACCCAGCTGGTCAGAGTCTATTGTCTGGGATAAATTAACTTCTGCAACAATAGTAAATACACCTTCTTTTTCAGGTTGCTCTACTTTTTTAATGTCCACCTCCAAAGTACTAGAGTCAGTTTTGTCCTCTTTGGTGAGTTCACTGAGTTCCTGTTTCACAAGTTCTGGAAGGGTTGCTTCAAGCTTTCCTAGTGCCTCTTTCAACTGGTCTTTAGGGTCCTTTGACTGGTGAGAAAAAACCTCCTTTATTGACTCCTGAAATTCGTGTGGGATTTTAATTTCCTTCTCAATAACTACAGATTCAGCACGGGCCACCTGTTCTTTGGGGGGTTCAGCCTTTGAAATAAAGGGCCCAGCGTCTTCACCCATTACTTGATAAATCAATTCTGGTGAAGCCAGACCCTCCTTTATGTTGGTTTGAGACCCTTCCAGAAATTCATCTTGCCAAGAATATTTCACTGTTGATTCTTCCTCAAAATGGATTTGACCGTAGGTGGAACCTTCTCCTTCCTCATATCCAAACGGGTATTCATCTGGAGTGGAAACAAAGTACTTTTCTTCATCCACAACGTCATCTCCCTCAGATACTTCTTCCACACGAGACACAGTCTCATCAAGTTGTTTTTCCTTAAGGTCTCCAGCAACACCTGTGGTGGCTTTCTCTTTATCACTGTAATACGGATGTTCTTTCATGTTGAGAAACGTATCTTCTGCTTCCTCTACTTCGAATGGGGTTGAAAACTCCACCCTTTCGTCAACTATAGTTGCAGGTTCTTCAATGATCTCAACTTTAATAGTCCTACTCGCCTTGTCTTCCATACCTTTTATCCCAGCATGAATTATATTGTCTAGGACATTTTCATCTAAACTTCCTTTCGTATCCTCCAATACCTTTTTAATATCTTTCTCTAAGAAACTTCCCAATTCAGATTTATTAGACACATCAAGGTCATCTTTTTGAACTGTGGACTGTATGCTGATCTCAGTTTTCACTTTTCCATCCTCAGAGATTTCCTTCTTTTCAAAGGAAGTTATTTTAGCTTCGGGAGGAATACCTTCCCCCGAAGACTTTTGTACGAAACCTTTGAGGATATCAGAAATGATGTTCTCTGCTATGCTCTCCGTGAGCGAAGCATCTCTTTCAGAATTCTCTTCTTTGCTTTTATTACCTTGAGTCATTTCATTGCTGAGTTTAAATTCAGCTTCACCTTTTGACTTTTCTGCAGAAGTTCTGAAGTCTTGCAATGTTATCTCTATGTTGTGATTCTTCTGTAGGATGTCGCCCTCAGTATGTCCTGAAGGAATGGGGATTTCAATAGTTCCTTGGCTTTTTGAAGACGTGCTCACAATTTTCTCCCTTTCAAATATTGCTGGAGGTTTTGGAATTGTCTTCCCTTCTGCCTCCACTTTAATCTGTTCCTCCCATCCTCTAGAAGGCATCTTATCTTTCATTAATTCCTCTTCCTTTCTCTTATATTTAAAGAGACTCTCTTCCACCGTATCCTCTTTGTTCTCCATGCCTTCCTTCATTTCAGTCTTCTTTCGAACAGTTTTTTCTACCCCGTACAATTTCTCAAAGTTCTTCACAGAAGAATCTGTTGCTTCGTTGGCCAATTTTTCCTTCTGCTCAACTCCTTCAACCAAAACGTGTTTTTCTTCTTTTCTTGGTTTGCCTTCTTTGATTAGTTTGTTGGTGTCACCCAAAATTCCTTCCCTCACCTCATATTGGCTTCCTTTAGAAGAAGACGTTGAGCTGTAAGATAGTGGTGGAGAGATAATCATCGTGGCTCTGATGCCTTCAGAACTCATTGGCCTTTTCGTCTGCTTCTGAAGGATGGCGGACTCTTTCAAAGCAGATGCCATACTTCCCATTTTGGTTGTCTCCCTTTCAGGCCTTGGCTGACCGTCACCTTCTCTGCTCATCCGATAAGGTGACGTAAAGCTAGGTCTTTCTCTCTGTCCTATCAGGCTTCTTTCATGAGTCACGTACCTTTCGGTAGCAGTTGAAGGACGCTGCCCCAACCTGAAGGGTTCTTTTGGTAGTGGTTTTTTCTCAGGGAGAACTGTTGGCCTTCCAGCACTTTCTCTCCTAGACGAAGAAACCACAGAGCGGCTAATGTTTGTTTGTGGGAATTTATATCTTAGGTCAACATTTGGGATTGCGGGAAGAGCTCTCTTTCCTTTCTCCTGTTGATAAGCGGAGTATCGGTTGCTATACTCGTAACGCAGATTTCGGCTACCTGCCAGGAGATAAACAAAAATGGCTATTAATTCCATGTACTTATTTATTTATTCATTTATTTCATAACACACTCATTTATTATTTTTAGAAATAACTCAAGGCAGCAAACATATCTAACACACCTTCCTCCTGTTATTTTCCCCACAACAACAATCCTGTGAGGTGAGTCGGGCAGAGAGAGAGAGAGAGAGAGAGAGAGAGAGAGACTGGTTAAAATTCCCCAACTGGTTCTGATGGCTAAGGCGGAACTAGAACTCTCAGTCTCCTGTGAATGGCCCAAAGTCACCCAGTTGTCTTTCATAGTTAAGGCAGAATTAGTGTTGTGTCTTATCATTCTTGATGAATGTATTTTATTTTCCTTTTATGTACACTGAGAGCTTATGCGCTGAAGACAAATTCCTTGTGTGTCCAATCATACTTGGCCAATAAAAGAATTCTATTCTATAAAGAATTCTATTCCATTCATCTTTCGTACCTCGGGGTAATCTTCTTCCATGTTCTTCATTCCACATGAGAATCCATTGGTTGTTCTCTGCTTCTAGCAAAGCTCTGCCATACAGAAAAAACAAAATTGAATTAATAACAAATTTAATTGAGTAGGTCCAGTCCTAATTAAAACATATATATGTTCAGTGCAGTGTTTCTCAATCAGAAATATGAACATGAACCAAGCAACCATCCCAGCAGTGTTTCTCAACTGTTTGCCACTTTAAGATGATGGACTTCAACTCCCAGAATTCCCCAGCCAGCCGTGCTGCCATGTTAAAGTGGCTGAGGTAAGGGCAACAGCCACTTTCCTTAATTTTCACATTAATACTTGAAAGCAAGACTGCTACGAGCTCATATTTCCACTTCATATTTCTTA